AATGCAGTAATTATTCTTTTCCTTTATTCCTTATTACCTACGTAATTATTATAGAGTGCATAACGCTGCTTGAGAAAATATTCTAAATATGTAAAATTTAATAGTTTTTGTTTTACAAGTTTTTTCTGAGCCGATAATTTATGAGAGAAGAGAAGAAGAAAGCTGATTAACGGTGGTAAATGAATTTTATTTAATGGTAAATAATGTTTTAAAATTAAATCAAATATTGATTAAATAAATAATTATAAAAGTTTTAAATAAAAAAAATCATATTTAATTCTTTACTATATGAAAAATTGTAGGAAAATATGTTGTAACTAAAAATAAAATAAAAATTATAAATAAAAAGAATTACAAAAAAATTATAAGTTAATTATTTGAAATTAAATTGAAATTGTAAATACTAAATACTTTGTAATCAATAGATTAACTATTAACTAAACCATATTTAATTCTTTACTAAATGAAAAATTTTAGAGAAATATGTTATAAAAAAAAAGTTAATTATTTGAAATTAAATTGAACTTGTAAATATTAATAACATTGTAATCAATAGATTAATTAAAATTAAATCATATTTAATACATTATTAAATGAAAATTGGAGATACCTTGTAATCAATAGATTAATTATTAGCTAAATCATATTTACATTCATATCATATTTAAATCATATTTTAAAATTCTAAATCATATTTCTTTAAAATTATAACTATAAAAAAATATAAATAAAATTATAAAAAAATGGATTATTTAAGATTAAAATTTCAATTTACTAATAAATTTAACAAAAGAAAAATAAAAAAATATAAATAAAATTATAAAAAAATGGATTATTTAAGATTAAAATTTCAATTTACTAATAAATTTTAAACCAATTTTGTAACTTAACTATTAATTATGTAATTATGTAGTAATTATGTAATTTAATAAATTAATTATTTACAATTATAATTAAATTTTATGAATGAATTGTAATTAAATTTTATATTAAAGTTAAGTCTAAGTATATTACGAATTTATGTAATCTATTTAATTCAATAAAAGATGGTAGCTTTAGGTGTCGGGTTGTTTTTGCGAAGTGGAACACGGATGCGGTGAGTGGAACTAAGTACAGGGGCCCAAACGAGGACGTTTGAAATTAGTAAGGGAGGAGTTAACACACGCGTCTCCCAAATCCGGCTCTGTGCTTAGTTTCATTAACTGAGCAATCATGCGATATTATTCGAACGCATAAGACATCCACTTGTTTATCTGGAAAAGTCCCGTTTGGCTTCGGTAGCTCCCAACTTTGCAAAAGTGCGCTCGGTCTTCTACTTGTTCTATCGAACAAGAAACACGTAATACCGGACAATGAAATTAATCTAAAATCCGTCAACATCATAGTCCTGCATGTTTTAGTGAAAAACTGAATATGTGTGCAAAAATCTTGATAAAAGTCTCCCTTTTGATCTAGAAAAGCTATGACGAAGATCTTGATGGAGTTTAGCTTAATCTTCCAATTGGTGTAGTACTTAAGACAATGAACCTAAGCTGGGCATTTAGCGCGATTTGGATTTGACGACCGCATGGGAACGAGGCATTCGTCAGCGAAGCAAATCCGCATGCCGAGGACCTGAGGGAAAGGTATTTCTACTGTATACAGAATGAAAAGGAGCGGAAATTAAACTTCTAACAAGTCGAAGTTCCATCAGCAAGTCACTAGAGGTTCACGAGTCAGTATTTCCCAGGCAACTGTCGATAAGTTACCTTCTAAATATTCTAAATATTGGAAGTACCTAATATTGTGTCACATCAACCAGAGGCTACATGTTGTGAGTTAAACAATTATTTTATTTAACTTTATTGTTTTTCAGTTTTTCCGTAAAATATGTATAGTATTTTTATTTGTGTACGATCTTAGTTGATCGTACATTTCCCTAAAAGTAGGCAAGGTTATTTGCATCTTGGCAAATATTGACTAAACCAAAACATCAGCCCGTCAGTTCGATGACAAGAAATGATGATTTTTGGTACTTCCTTAATATTCGGTGTCATGATGTAAATGACTTTGAAAATATTGAATACGGAAGAACTGCAATAATATTTAGAGCATTCTTTTATAAGTGAAAACTTTGCGAATTTAGCAAAGTAAATTATGAAATTATGAAAAAACCCTATTGAGGTAATTGGGGCAGTTCTAAGGTCGAACATTAAGTTTTGCCATCAAGTTTAACTATATATGATGAGTTTAAAATTT